CGGGGGGGGCGACCGGTCTGGCCCCGGCCCCGCTCCCCCGGGGAGGCGAGGGGGGAGGACGGGGGTGTTTTTCCCGAGGCTTCCAACCTCGAAGATTCTGTGATTCTGTGTAATGTATGTCCAAAAACACTTTGCAGAGAATGTCAAGAGGAAAATGAGGAGTTTTGCAGTGATGCTAAGAAAAGTTCTTTTGTTCTAGGAGAAGGAGCTCCCGCTAGATGAATTGATAACGTGAGGCAATGGGACAGAAGGAAAGATTAAGATGAGGAGCTTAATAGCTAAGAAAATAAACGGCTATAAGATCAGAAAGATAAGCTGAGCCGCGTCCATCAAGAGAGCAGTGTTTGTGTTGGATCTGACGCAAATGGGATGCTAATGGCAGTGAAGGAAAGATGCAGGGAATCCTGCTTCGTGGAGGAAGGGCCACTCCGGTAAGTGCAGGCTTTAAGAGAACAAAAAGAACATAGAACATAGATAGAATGGTTGGTGTCAAACCACCTGTTTTCTGCTCTATGTGATACTGACTTCCAGTCAGTCAGTAATCAAGCAAAAGTGTCACAAAATTAACTATATGCCTTGTACTCTTTTTAATCTTATGATAAACAGTGGTAATTGTCTGGTAGCACACTTCAGGTTACTCCCCTTCCTCTGTACTTCCAAAGCCTTATCCCCTGGTAGCCCAGCTACCGGTTGGTAGTCCCAGTGAGAAACTGCCCTAGGAAAATGCATCTATTAATGGGCTGTTAACGAGACTTCATTTGCACTAGCACCGTGTGATGCAGTCCCTGCGGTTGTGTTACAGAAGAGATCAGAATAACACACCTCACATCCACGTGAACGTGTGCTCAGGCAACAAAGGCACTTGTATGAATTAATTTTAAGAAAAAAAAAATCAACAACCGTGTATTTTTCCATTACTCCAGTCTTTTTTGTTGTTGTTTCTGCTGGCATGAGCCAAATTTGTTTGTATAACTGTGGTGCTCAGACTTGTCCCCCGAGGAGTTTGTGCTGCACTTAATCACCGCTTATAAAGTCTATCATCTAGTTTATTTTTTTTCTGCTTCACTGTGCCGGGATCAAAATGGCTGGAAAGCATTCACCTGTAGAAGTAGTGGTGTTTTAAATGGCAAGCACATTTCCCTCTCTCTGTAACTTTGTCAGATAACGTTGCTGATACAGTCGTGTCTCACAGACCAAAAATCGTTCCGTGTCAGCTGAGAGAGAAGGTGCATCTTTCACCAGTTATTGCCAGTGCTCAGGGTTACATCAGAATAAAGTCAAGATGAACTAGCATAACTCTTGAATTTAGCTGTTTAGACACTATTCTACAATCCCTGGAAGTAATTCCATCATCTTCTTCCTCATCAAAACCAGTGAGATACTCAAACAGGAAGAATAGGTGCATAAAGACAAGGTAAACATGTATGACACAAAAAAAAAATCCTGCAACTCCAAACAGAAAAGGAACCCCTCGAACCACAGCAGTGTGTAAAATACCAGTAACAAGCCTTCCCTCCCAAACAAACCGAGGACCGTGCTGTCACCTTCCCATCCAAACTGAACCGACACGTCACCTGTGCAGCCTTCAGAGCCAGCGAGGAAGAGGAGATCCACTGGGACCACTTCCAGGCAAACTGTCACCAGACACATCTGCATCTGTACAGGGAAAACTTCACTCCCCAGAAGTTATTTCCATTTCATCCCTTTCTCAACTAAAATAATATAACAACACCGTGCCATGTGCCCGGGAAACGGCGGTTTCAGAAGAGATGAAGAAAGTGTTCTCCCTTATTTTAAAGTCTTTTGCCAACTACTGAATTTTTCATGATGTTTTTGGTCTAGGTTTCAGAGTACTTCCCTCAGGGAACACCATTGCTCTGCAGCGTTCAGGGGAAGATACAGCAGGGAAAGTGAAGCAAAAGCTGAGCTCCTATCAGAAGCTTCCCGTCTTTCAAAGCCCCATGTTTGCCTTAAATACCTTGAGACAACTTTCCAAAAGCCACATAAGAGGCGTTTCTTACTTCTCATTTCCATTTTAAGGAGGTACCTCGTCAGGCAGCGTGTGTTTAAGAGAGTTTGCACTGGAGGAAAGGGGTATTTCTGAAGCTGGAATCCTTTTGGGAGACACGGGTGTCTTCAGCACGGCGTGTGTTTAAGAGAGTTTGCACTGGAGGAAAGGGGTATTTCTGAAGCTGGAATCCTTTTGGGAGACACGGGTGTCTTCAGCACGGCTTCTGGGAGAGGCACCCGGAGAGCAGTGGAAATCACACATCACAGGGAGAGTGTGGCAACAAGGGAGTGAGCTCACAGAGCAGGGGAACCACAGGCAAAGCTACACACATCCCTCCTGCTGTTATCAATCACTAACGAGTTCTTCTCTCCAGGGCAGAAGCAGATTTACTGGAGTGCCATGAGCCATGGAAACCGGGAAGGTTTAGGCAGTCACTGGACGCAGTGCAATCCCAATCCTGAGTTTGTTCCCACCTGAAGGTTTTAAAGAGGAAAGATTCTATCCCTGTTTTCTCTGTTGCCCTTTGCCCATTTTGCTTAGAAACAAGTCCTTTGTGCCTGTCTGTGAGGACTTCCCACAGCACCTAACACAAGATAGTTAAGAGAAAGGGTGCCTGTTGCCCTTTGCCCATTTTGCTTAGAAACGAGTCCTTTGTGCCTGTCTGTGAGGATTTCCCACAGCACCTAACACAAAATAGTTAAGAGAAAGGGTGCATTTATCTTCACATATCTTCGGATCCATTCCCTGTGTTTCACTTGTTTGCAATGAATATACAATCGGGAATATTACACTTGGGAAGAGAGAAGTAACGAGATGAAGTACTTCCCTCCCACTAATATTCTGGAAGAGGCAGCCAGAAAGCATTAGCTGCACCCAAAGACTGGAACAACCCCAAACAACCCAAGGTGCAGCTCTCAAATGGTAGAACTGGGTCCAAAATGAGCTTGTCCCTGGGGATAATATTCTGGAAGAGGCAGCCAGAAAGCATTAGCTGCACCCAAAGACTGGAACAACCCCAAACAACCCAAGGTGCAGCTCTCAAATGGTAGAACTGGGTCTAAAATGAGCTCATCCCTGGGGGCTTGCAGCATCCTTGGGCAGGAACAGGAGCACCACCTGTAGTTAGGGCCCCCCTGTGGGAAATGCTGCTTTCTCCCACTGAGGAGTAGCTCTGCTGAAGCAGGAGTGGCAAATTTTCCTAGAAAATGTCTGTCTCAAGCTGTGAGTGTGTTGGTTTAGTTTTTGGGCTGTTTTGCCTTTAAAAAAAAGTGCTAGCTAGAACAAGCCAGTCACGGGGAAACCAAAATATATGGAATTATTTTTACTACAAGGGTTTTTTTTGACAGCTGGACACTGCCTTCATCAGCCACGCTCCATCATCTCACAGCTCCCAAGTGTTGGGTGGCAGAGATAGGATCTCCCCAGATCAGCTGAGCACTCTCTGTCCTCAGGCTTCTTGGGACTTGCCTTTGCTATTGTGCCCTTGAATTTTCCAGGGCTGCTGATGCAAAGCCATTATCCACACTGCTGCTTGTGGTGACGCCCGTGAGGGAAGAGGCTGGAGTTGAGAGGCCTGGGTGAAATGCAGAGTGAGAAATGGGACAAGACTAAAAAAAAAAAATTTAAAAATAAATAAAAAAAGGAAAGGATGGGATGGTAGGGCCAGGATAAAGGCACAGGGAATAAAGGAGAGCAGGAGCCAAAATGGAGCAGGTAGAGGCAGGCAAACCCCGTTCAGCGCCGCTGGCAGCACTTCCAACTCGGGATGAGTTTCAAGTCTCCACATGCTCACGTTATCTTCCAACAACAAAAGGAAACCCGCTGCTGAGGACTTTCCTTCGCTTTGCTCATCATCCAGTTCAGGGCCAAAGATGTGGTCAAGTGTTAGGTTTCCTTTCCTCACGTCTTTGTTTCCCTGGAGATGGGGAAGATGTATTAAGTAAAAGTGTTAGACCTATGGAGTCAAACACTATCTGTCCTGGGTCAAATTAGTACTTATGAATACTCACAAACTGGAAAATTAAGAATTAAGTTTAGCATTGAATTTCAGCAAAAAAGATATTATGTCAATAATTTTTAGTCAATTGCTACTTGTTACTGTGTTTCGTTCAGTGCACAGGATTGTCACTATGGGTAAAGACTGTAATGAACAAGCCAGGAAACTGCAGAATACTTGCAGCATCCTTGGGCAGGAACAGGAGCACCACCTGTAGTTAGGGCCCCCCTGTGGGAAATGCTGCTTTCTCCCACTGAGGAGTAGCTCTGCTGAAGCAGGAGTGGCAAATTTTCCTAGAAAATGTCTGTCTCAAGCTGTGAGTGTGTTGGTTTAGTTTTTGGGCTGTTTTGCCTTTAAAAAAAAGTGCTAGCTAGAACAAGCCAGTCACGGGGAAACCAAAATATATGGAATTATTTTTACTACAAGGGTTTTTTTTGACAGCTGGACACTGCCTTCATCAGCCACGCTCCATCATCTCACAGCTCCCAAGTGTTGGGTGGCAGAGATAGGATCTCCCCAGATCAGCTGAGCACTCTCTGTCCTCAGGCTTCTTGGGACTTGCCTTTGCTATTGTGCCCTTGAATTTTCCAGGGCTGCTGATGCAAAGCCATTATCCACACTGCTGCTTGTGGTGACGCCCGTGAGGGAAGAGGCTGGAGTTGAGAGGCCTGGGTGAAATGCAGAGTGAGAAATGGGACAAGACTAAAAAAAAAAAATTTAAAAATAAATAAAAAAAGGAAAGGATGGGATGGTAGGGCCAGGATAAAGGCACAGGGAATAAAGGAGAGCAGGAGCCAAAATGGAGCAGGTAGAGGCAGGCAAACCCCGTTCAGCGCCGCTGGCAGCACTTCCAACTCGGGATGAGTTTCAAGTCTCCACATGCTCACGTTATCTTCCAACAACAAAAGGAAACCCGCTGCTGAGGACTTTCCTTCGCTTTGCTCATCATCCAGTTCAGGGCCAAAGATGTGGTCAAGTGTTAGGTTTCCTTTCCTCACGTCTTTGTTTCCCTGGAGATGGGGAAGATGTATTAAGTAAAAGTGTTAGACCTATGGAGTCAAACACTATCTGTCCTGGGTCAAATTAGTACTTATGAATACTCACAAACTGGAAAATTAAGAATTAAGTTTAGCATTGAATTTCAGCAAAAAAGATATTATGTCAATAATTTTTAGTCAATTGCTACTTGTTACTGTGTTTCGTTCAGTGCACAGGATTGTCACTATGGGTAAAGACTGTAATGAACAAGCCAGGAAACTGCAGAATAAGAAACATAAGACTTTCCCTTAAGAAAACTGAATATCGTTTTGGATAATTGCCTTTTTTTTTCCTGTCTCCCAGAAGCTTTTTTTACTGATACTGTATAACTCACTTAAACCAGAACCTGCCCATTAACCATGACTTTTGTTAGAACAAAATCTTATCTCACCTGGAATCAGACCTGCTGCTACACCTTCTCTTCTCCAAGAGAAGAAGGAAAATAGGCCAACCACTCAGGACTTTTGAATTATGTATTCCTTAGGTATTTGGTTTAACGTAAAGGCTCACATTCAACTTGCAGCTAAAAATCACCAATCCTCCTTCTTTCCAGGCTCCTCATTCAGTCTGAAGTTTTTCTGTCTCTCTGTTGGTACAGGTAATTCCGTTCAACACTTCCCTTCAGCTGACAAGTCAACCATGTCACACTGTACCCTGTGAGAAGGTGAGTTTTCTCCAGCCTGCAACCCTGCCCTGTGTTACTGTTTGGAATTTAGTCACTTGACTCAATCACTGTCTCCATCCCCTTTTCCCCAGTCCATCATCTGGGAAAAAAACCCATCCAATTGGATTGGAAAGCCCAAGTTCTTTCAGAGGAGCAGCTGAGGGCTTTTGCAGGTTTGTTTCCCCTTTATTCCATCTCTAGGCAATTGGTAGGAGGACACTTGAGGCCAAATTTGTGGTGCTGCTGAACACCCAAGTGAAGCTGATTGATACAGTGCATTAAGTGAATGAAACAGTGTAAAAAGCTAAGAGAACCTGAGATGTCAAAAAGTAATGGACACAGCATTTTTTTACCTTAATTTCTCGTGCCAGTGTCTTATCTGTAAAATATCAATAATAACAGCTGAATAATGCAACACTTCATTTTGCAAGGACATCATAAAAAATAATTCTTTGTATTTATAAAACAGTGTCATGCTACATCATAAAAGCATTTGTGAGGAAACACATTATGTTTTCAGGGCAGCTTAGGTGCTCTGTGTTAAGTACATCCAGCAACACTACCTTGGATGGAAGAGAGAGAAACATTAAGCAAATATCAGTAGCAATTAGAATATATTTATATTGTTATATTTATTACTAACCATACCAAGTGCAATAAATGAAAGACAAGGCACCATTTCATGGGAGCAGTTACCTTGCTAAGGATATTGGAAAGCACAAATGTGCTGTATAGTACTTTGATTTATATGGCATTTTACTTTTTAAATGAGCAGCGTCCCCTTAACAAGGTAGAACTGAAGCCATTACGATCCATTAAAACAGTTCTAAGTGTCTGATAGTAGAGTCCCTGACATCTTTCCATTAAGATTTCTTGATTTGGGCTATATCTGTTTTTTTGTTGTTCTTTTTGAACTGCATTAGCTGTGAATGCCCCAACCGATACCCTGGCTGTCAGATTTGTGCTGGTGTTAATACTGATTTAATTGGCAATACTGATTTTGACAATTCTGATTTAAAATGCAAATGTGAGGGTTTGGGAACTCCAACCTCCGTTTCCAAGGGTTCTCCTCTGGATTTCTTCTAGCTGTCTATCTTTACTTTTTTCTTACAAATAAAGCCTTGTTCACTACTGTCTTTCTTCCTAGGCACAACAAGCAGCACCAAACTTTATCTGGAGCTTGTCACCATGATTGCTTTACCAGCCAAATAGGATGCTGTTGAGTGACACAGTGGACTCCACAACCACCACGGGGAAGTAAACACACCGTCTCTACATCTTCAAAGCGGGAGAAGATTCTCTTCTTAAACAGATTTTGCAACCTGGTAAGAAAAATAAGAATAAAACTTACGAGAGCACCACAGTGTTTAAAGAATTTTAGGACTTGCTACTCCGACAATGACCTGCTCTTAATTGGGATGTTCTGTTTTGGGAGCTTCTGTGCGTGGAACAGGTTATGGGGCCAGAGCAGTCACAGACTGAGGCGAAGTGCTGGAAATAATTACTATTTCCAGGCAGGTAATATATTCGCCTCTAGAACAAATATTTACTTGTAAATGTGGTTTGTTGGTGTGACAGCTATAAAACAGGCTCTAACAGTTTGCCTAATGCTAATTTCCATACAATAAAAGGGCATTTACATAACACTAAGGAACAAACCTGTAAAAACAAGGAAGCGTGCCGTTAGCTTTAAAGTCTCCCGTTGAGGCAGCGTGGTATTGAAGTGACAAATATGATGCATTTCTGTTTTAACTGCATGTTTCCTTGAGTTTGTGGGTTCAAGTCACAGCCTTAATTGCATTTAAAAGCAGGTTTGGGGATACGAATTTCCTCTGTAGCTTTTACATCCCAAACTAAAATAGAATGCAAAACTTAGGCATCATTAAGAGAGAGACAAAGGAAAGGGAACTGCAAGTAGGTCTCAGCAGCTGGGATAATCTCCCAGGGGGAGAGGTGGAAACCATAGTCCATGAGTCATTTCATACCAAATAAACAAAGCACCGGAGTATAAATTGTAAAGCATGGGGTTTTGTTGTTGTTGTTCATTGACAGAGACAGGACTGCTTGACTTAATGGAGCTTTTCTGGTTTTTTTTAAGTTCCGTAGTAGTAGAAAGCATGGACAATGATATAGATACAGTTTTTCTTCATTTCTCATTGCCATTTTGGTTCTTGCTGTAATGGCAATACAGTAAAGACATGAGTAACTTTGGCCCCTCCACTGTGAAGTAAAGCTTTTTTCCTGAGATGGAGCCCTCAAGAACTGCTGAAATTCAGGATCCTATTAGAAAATAACCACCGCTGATATGGTCACATAGTGCTTTAATTACAGGTCCATAAAAGGTTTCATGAGCCCAACTATCACAGGTTTGGCTACTAAATGCCATGCTTTGGTGCCAAAGCTCTGGGGAAGGCAGGTGAGTGAGCTGCGGGTGCTGGCACGACCTGCTTTTGGTCTCCAGTGGAATCCAGGGGACTGTCAGGAGACAACAAATAACCCCTTTGCATGGGTAGAGTAGGAGGATGTCTGTAATCAAACACAATTATGGAATCACTGCCAGTCAGAGCTGCTATAATCTTGCCTGTAATCAAGGACAGCGTTATTGCAACATTTATTGCTCTCAAGAACAATCTGAGATTTATGGACCCTTGGAAAGAAAGTCATTATTTAGCAAATCTATCTATATGTGTTATTTGCCCAGAAAGAGACTTTTATCTCTGAGAGCTCAGGACAGTTCCAGTGAAGTAGATCTTCTGGATAATTTCTTCAGATTCTTCAAAGTCTTGAATGACAAAAAGCCCACGTATTACTTGAAGAAATTCTTCCCAAGCTTGTCATGTGCAAACTCGGACTGGCCAGGCAGACCTGAACACACACCATTTCCCTGCTGCTTGAGATCTAACGTCACCGCTGCTGCCGGAGGTGTAACTGCTGCATCCAAATAAACAGCTGAAATCGGTGTCGTCATGCAGAAACTGAACTCTTTGATCTAATTGTTCAGTTATTGCAAGCCCAGGATGAAATGTCTCAAGGGGAAGGCCTTCTCCTATAGTACTGAGCTATGGGTTTGGCTCTTCCAGCAGACAGTATCTCTCTGTTGTGTGAGAGGGAATGTTAAACAGAAAATGTATTTTGAAAAAGGATGATACGTGAGATAACTCATCATAAGAAGCGTAGAGAAAGGGAGTAAGTAGTACAGTTGATCACGTGAAGGTTGAAGAAGCTGTATCTCTTAATTTTGGAAAAAAGAGGGAAAGCAAGAAAGTTTTTGTGACTGCTTAGCTCACAAGGGGACGGAAGAGAGCTCTGAACTCAGGAGGGGATGTGGGTGGGAAGGCAATGGAAGAAGAAAAAGCTTGTTACCTTAAAAATATTACCTAAAAAGGTTTGGATGCCAACCAATAACACCACCTCAAAGCTCCCCAAGGAAGCTGTGTGTTGTGTTCTACAGGTCACATGGGTGATCTGTAGAGTTGATCTGGAGGGCACAGGAGCTGATATGCACCACTGTCCATACCAAGCCTCTGAGGTTGGCAGAGTCAGCTCCTGTTTGTCTGTATGGTGACAGTTCTGACAAATACCTCTCAGCTACAGCAGCTTTATCAGCGAGAAGAATCTGGGCCACCACGCAAAGAGAATCCTCCCAGTGGTGTGTCAGGCTTGAGGAAGGGTGTGATTATCATTCCAGAGGAGCGTGATGGGAACCTGTGCCTCCTGTTTGGCTGAGCAGTGGCGAGATCAAGGAGGCTTCTGCTCTTTGCTCACCTCTTCTCTCTTTATTTCCTTTCTTTCAGCAAGCAACTTATCTTCATATTAACTTATTTTGTCATGTAAGATGTCCAAAGCATGAACCAACACCCCAAGGCACTTGGAAATGGATCTCCAACTAGACCATCAGCAAAGTACTACGTAGAGGGGAGTTTCCCATTTTGGGGTGCTTGGATGGCAGCTGGCTCTGATCAGCATCTTTGAAAACAGTGGGGTGGATTCTTTCACCAGGCTGAATCAGCTCTGCCAAGCCTGGTGTTTCAGGACTTCTCCACCAGCCACAGCCGGGGACGCATAAACCTCTGGTGCCCACATAAGGGTGACGTGGCACTTCCACATCTCTGCTTGGACGAGTCTTCCAGATGGATGTGGCCTGTTGGGTCACTCCAAGGAAGCAGGCCCTCATCTCATGAGATCAGGTGCCTCATCTCCCAGGTCTCCTGGAAAAAAGTGTCCTTCCATGGGAAGGACAAGCATTTCAAACACCTGATGGGAGATCTCCAACCACATTGGACTGTGCTTCTTTATGGGTCATCATCCAGAAACAAAACATTCGTGTGTGTCTGGGGCTTTGTTCTGGTCTCACAGGTCCAGTAGCAATAACAGAGCTGAGCTTAGAACTTAATACCCGTGAAGATACAGTTTTTAGAGGCTGACACAGCTCAAGATTAAAAAAATAACCACTGCGTGACAACAGCAAGCAAGATACATAAGGGTGACGTGGCACTTCCACATCTCTGCTTGGACGAGTCTTCCAGATGGATGTGGCCTGTTGGGTCACTCCAAGGAAGCAGGCCCTCATCTCATGAGATCAGGTGCCTCATCTCCCAGGTCTCCTGGAAAAAAGTGTCCTTCCATGGGAAGGACAAGCATTTCAAACACCTGATGGGAGATCTCCAACCACATTGGACTGTGCTTCTTTATGGGTCATCATCCAGAAACAAAACATTCGTGTGTGTCTGGGGCTTTGTTCTGGTCTCACAGGTCCAGTAGCAATAACAGAGCTGAGCTCAGAACTTAATACCCGTGAAGATACAGTTTTTAGAGGCTGACACAGCTCAAGATTAAAAAAATAACCACTGCGTGACAACAGCAAGCAAGATAACTGATATTTTTAAAACCAGACAGGTTTCTGCACAGAAGGCCCTCTCGTCACCGGTGGCTGCAGAAAGGAAGGGGCAGAGGCAGCTGCAACCACCTCAGCTTCGGGGATGGGGCTGCCAGGAGTCAGTCCTGCAAGAAAACACCTGGAGGGCCTTAACGAACATTGTTTTCTAGAATGTTCCCCCCGCTCTGCTGGCAGGGAAATATACCCGCCCTATGAGCGAGAACAGAAAGAGACAGTTCTCAAACAGCACATGGTTTGACTTAGAAAAGCTTTCCTTAAGGGCAGAATTAATTATATACCATACAGATCTATTATATATTCTGTTTATACAATTATAAAGCATTATGGTTAATTAGTTGTGGTACAGACTCTCCTGAAGCAGAATCTGGTTAGAAAATAAACAAAGCGCTCAGTCAGCTGCGACGGTGGTTAACGGCTTGCACTTTCATATCACCTTTCACACCCAACTCTCTTGAAGTGATTTGTATGTTATGGAATCCAGTGGGCTGGAGTTTTAATTTTTTTTTTTGGTTTTATATAAAATCAGAACGTGCTGATGTGAAATGACCTGGTATTCTCACACCTTTAAGAAATTAAATTCAGAATATTACCTAACCATCTTTAATTGAACTGTTTTTCCTGTTCACTGCCCTCACACCTGAGTGGTTAATTGTGATTCTGTTATGGCTAGTATTGTATATAGACAGAACGTAAGTACCTCTCCATCCCCTTTTCCTCTCCTGGTCACTGCCCTCACACCTGAGTGGTTAATTGTCATAGACAGAACATAAGTACTTCTCCATCCCCTTTTCCTCTCCTGATATATACAGCTCTGACTGGCAGCACTGGGAATCTCTATCTGCCTCACTATTCTAAAAATAGGGGTGAAATCCTGATTGTGAAAAAATTTTGATTGGGCTGAAGCGTGCGATTCGGCGTAGGTTTGGTTTTCAAACTGTATTTTACATTATTTTAATGCAATGAAATGGGCTGACATGCCACGATATTAATGCCTCAAATCAACTGACATCTTTGAATTTAATTCTTTTTTTTTCTGTCACATTATTTAGCCCTGAGTCTTATTGTTGTGTATGTGCTGCTGCAAGTGTCCGGGGAGAACAAGTGGGTTTGGAAATCTCTTCAGTGTCATGGGTAGAGCTAAAGAAAAAAAAATTAGTGTTATTTGTGGTGTCATGGGATTATTTTAACTGGGGTTACTGTGTACACCCAGAAAAGCCGTTCTTAAAGGAAAAAAGCTTGCAATATTTATAGGAGAAACTGAAGTAAAAAGCAGGAATAAGGGAGTGAGAGGGAAGTTAGAGTATGTATTTAGTATATACTAGGTATCTATACTGCAAAATGTAGCACAGAACTTATTTACAAATCTACAAATAATTTAAAGAGAGCATTCCCCACTGAAAATACCAATTTGCAGTTTCCTGAATGCATCGTGAAAGTCGTGGGATTTGAGCTAACTTTGAAGGAAGGCTGCCTAGGGTTTTTTTTTGAGGTCTATTTTGCGGATAGTTCTCTAGAAGAAAGCTGAAATATATGTATGAAAGAACTTCTGAGAGAGAAAGAGATACGTGGGCAACCAAAAATGGCATTGTCAGCTCAGAACAACAAACTGCACAGTAAGATACAAGAAGAGGTTATAGATAAGTGCCCAGTGGACACCTCTAATTCATATGGAAAATGGAAGTAAAGGGGAATGCCAGGAAAAGCTACAAAAAAGAGGCTGATAACATCAGAGCAAGAATTCAGGAAGGTCGTCTTGACTTCAGTGTTCTAGTCTCAAGGGGAGACCTTGAAAAGTGGAGAGCTTGCATGGTAGAGGTGGCAGTTGCACTGATGCAATCACAAGAAATCACCTGAGAAAACACCCAAGTAGAAGAATAAGAGGTAAAAATAGAAGCTGGTGAGTTTTACCTGTTGAAAGAGAAAGCTGGGATGGAGATCTCCCACGGCTGGAAGAAAAGTCAAGAAATTGGGAAAGATTTGGAAAAGAAAACAAGAAAAGAATTAGAGGTGACTTGGGAAAAGGTGAAGTTGGCAGAAAAGCCATCCAAGGTAGCTGTTTCAGTCAATGCATTATTTTATTTTAGAAGTTACTGGGAGGAGGAAAACTCGCTCAGAAATGTGAGAGCAAAATGAAGTCAAATGTAGGATTTTAAACAATATAGCTGAGACAAACATCCTTCCATGTGTGTTGGGATGGCCCCAAAGAGTTAAGCAAAACAAAGAACAAGGGGAAAAAATCCACCCCAAAATAGCAAATTAAAGGATTACTGGTAAAGGAGGAGGGGTAAAATGAAAGTCTGATAAGAATTGCCAGGATAAGGGATTGGAAGAGAGAGGAAAAAGCAGGAGAGTGAATGAAAGGAGAAAGAATGTGGATTTGTTGATTAGATCTTCTCTTAAAAAAGACCGAACTGATAACATGGATAAGAAGATGGCAGAGGTGTGTGAAGTTGGTTTCAGGAGAGTGTTATTTAAATTAAATGTTTGTATTTTACTAAGCAAGTATATTTGTAGATTATAAATATGGAGTAGTCATCACTTCATTTGAATCAACATGACTAATCTGCAAAAAGTAAAAAAACTTTTTGTAATCTCATGTCTGAAGTATAAAAAATACTAAGATCCTCAGACAGTGATCAAAAGTTTAAATATTTTCATAAATTTCTGTGGGAATTGGTTATTTTTCAGTCAACTATCAGAGAGGCAATTTGTGTCTTCTGCCACTCAGGAAATACGTTATCTGTGTAGACGGAAACAAGATGACATTTTCAGAAACATTACTCCCTAGTAGATATTAACATTTGGGTAACACAGAGATATAAAAAAAATAAAGTTAAAAGTTTTATGCCTGTGGTTTATGCAAGTTAAATTCTTGCTATTAGTGTTTTCCAGCTCCCAGGCATTTCCCCCCTTCCTCGAAAATAGCCCCTAACTGCTGTGTAAACCTCATTTCTGCTGCTTATTTTTGCATACCTATAAATTAAGCTTCTCACTGCTTAATTTTAGCAGTGCCAGTGATCAGACACATGGGGGTAGAAAAGATTTAGAAGCTCGGCTTGTGCATCCAGTTGCCCAAAAAGCTGGAATATTCCATCCAGTGGAGGTTTAAGTTCCCAAATAAAACAGCTTTTCTCCTTTCAAGGGGCAGACTTTCCAAAGAGGAGTTCTCACTTAAAAATTTCACTGAATTTGACTGAATTTTTAGAGTTGGAAGGGACCATAGAGATCATCTAGTCCAACTCCCCTGCTAAAGCAGGACCACCCAGAGCTTGTCAGATCATGCCACTCGGGACTGCATCCAGGCGGATGTTTGTTAAATTTAAATTTAACAAACTCTTCTCATTGAAGAGTTTGTTAAATTTAAATTTCAGTATTGTATCTGTGGAAAATAGCAATAAAAGTTAGCTACGCTGAATAACGCTAAAAATACCCCACTTTATTAACTGCAAGTGAGGAATTTTAAGTGCTATTAGTTTCATAGAAACCCTCAAGGACTCAAAGAGCTGCACAAGAGTCTTATGTACAGGCCACTAATGTAAAGAATAACAATGAAGTTTATGAGAACAGAGATGGGTCTAGCTTTTGCAATAGCGTTTTAAATAATGTATTTAGAAACTGTAATACATCCACAAACTCTGACCCTTTCATCCAGGCGTTGGGATGCACCCAGTGGGCATCCCTGGGATGTCTGAGCTCCGGGTTAACACACACCTCTTGCTTTTTAAAGTTTCTAAGAGGCAGATGCTCGTGTCTGGGCTTTGTTCAGCCTGCCCTTGGTCCAACACCACCTTTCCTGGGGTGTGTTAGTGCCTGGGGACCCCCTGCCTTGCCCAGGGGGAGCTCATCCCACCCCCTCCACATCCCTCAGCTGGCGTGGGCTCTCGGAGCCACTGGCAGCAAAACCAACCCCACAGCAATAAAAAATAACTCCACTTCCCTCCCACCGCCTTCCTACCCCAGCACAGAGGGAAGGGAAGGATATGCAGCGCTGAAAGTAGAGATAGTTTGGGTAATAATAGCATTTTAGGAATAGCTTGTGAAGATAGGTGTATTTCAGGCAGTTCCCACCTGCCCCTAAATTACAGCTTGTGGCGCATCGCTCCCCGCAGCAGCTCGGCACGCTCAGGAGGAAAGTACTGGGCTGAGCCTACGTAGAAACTAAAATTTAACATGTTCAAAATGTAGCATAAATTAAAAGTACTGAACAAGCAGTTATAAGACATTTCAGTTTGTCTTGAAAGCACCATTTTCTTCCAAGATGTGCAGCCTTCCCGGGAGCACACAAAACATCATCCTCCAACATCCACCATCCTCATGTCAAGTGCTGACTGTTCTTATAGTTGTTTCCATGCTGCAAATTGTTTTAACAGCCCAGTGAATAAGTAAGACCACAGAATTTTAATTTTTTAACTATTCAGGCTGACATGGAAGGTAAACAGCATCATACACAAAATTATTTGCTCTAAAACACACATGGCATGTGTGGGCTGATACACTCAGATCCACAGCCCTCACTCCACAGAAACTATCAAGGTT